GGTGTTGCATTGTTCTCACATAATCGAACCAATAAAACTATGTAACTAGAGAATTGTATTGTAAACCTGATTGAAAAAGAGTAACCTATGGAGTTTCTTGCTCGTTCTTCTCCATAGGAATCTACGCCTTGGAATGAGCAACTAGCTTCACTTATAAATTTTTGTTGTTTGACGTTCAAAAGTGCCATCCTGGTCTGATTGAAATAAATTATTTTGACTTTGACTTTGACTTCGTTCGCGTATAATAATGACTTCTGGCAAATTTTGGATTTTTTAATAAGTCTTCTCTAAGGTTAATTGCAATGCTGTGTAACAAATCTCATCAGAACCAAATTAGTTAGTATTTATTGTGAAATATTGTATAGTATACATTCCCGTGAGGTTTCAGTGATTAGAATTCCATTTGATTTCCAATCAAATACTTAGATTTAGCATTCGAAAACTATCAGGCGTCATTTTCCGAGTCTCCGATAGTTTCTGTCCCGTGAGATTTATTTTCTAGTGCCAGTGTCTCAAACTCTCATTGAACCGAATTTCAATCAAATAGGTTCAGTGGATAATAAAATTAGTATTCAGCCTCTTTGTATACCTTAATGTTATATCATGATAATAAAAATTAATTGTCAATAATCCATTCGCATGAAAGTCCCTTGTCAAAAATATGTTAGATATCATAGAAAGGTATAATTAATATATAAATTTGTTTACGTCTGTTTTGTTTTGTTAGAAATTACGTGATTTTTTACTGAATGGATATAGTATAAAGGATTTGAAAGTAGAATAGGCGACATTTTGATTCTTTCTAACCCACCACTTCTTTAAAACAGTTTGTATGGAGAGGCTGGAAGTTTGTATGGAGCATTTCGTAATTTTAAAGGAACCTAAAATTAGTATTATTTTTGTGACCAACAAAACATCGGGTATCAATTATTTTTATATTTTGTAAACCTGCCCTCAATACTTTAAAAGAACGCGGGTAAAACCGTGGGCAGAAGCTAGTTCATAAATAAAATGCATTCAGTTAATTTAAGTCGTATTTTTTCTTTAAAATCTGATTCTGATGTAGCTAAATACTACTATTAGTCCTTGTAAACAGTTTTCTATTGGCAGTCAAAGGGTTAAGTAATATAAGTAGTTTTTTGGCAGTATTTGCACACATCGGGTTACATTATCGAAATTTTCACACGGTTTTCTTTTTTCTTTCTTATTAATTAAAGCATATGATCACCATCGATAATGTAGTATTCCAACGGTAAAAGAATTTTTCAAATCGGCCCGGTTCTTTCGGAGGAGATTCCATTCAATCAAACAAACAAACAAAAAATCAAATCTTTCTTTCATGTAGCTTCTCTTGTTCGAAAGTTATAATTTTTTTATGTAACATATTCTAACCGTTTTATAATATTGTGCGCATGCTGTGTTAGCCAGTAAGTAGTTGTTACACTTACCAAAGTATTATTTGTAATGATGTAATGAATGTATAAGTTTAAATAACTGCTGTTTTATGTAATATTAGTAAATATAAAAATCTCTTCAGTGTTTTTTAAACAGTGATTAGTCAATAACTTTTACTAGATGAAGTTACCGAACTGTACTATTTAACCAACATTTGGTTGATATTTATTATTATTATTTATGTCAGTGTTGTTCAACTGCTCCATAATTACGGTAGAAACACCGTAACCGTAAAAGATTTGTCACGGAGAACTTAACGAGTAACCGGGGCTCGACGTGCAGGAGAAGGAACGGGGTGGTTTTTAGTCAGTAAGAGTCTGACACTCTCTCCCGCCTCACCCAGGCGGGAGCAGACTTTCGATGATTTCCCCCCCTTAAAAAAAACCGTAAAAGATTTACCACCTACCGTAGGATTATAATTTACGATATGATTAAATACACCTTAATACTCAATGCAGAGCGTATTAATTTTTCTCCAATAGCGTGGTGCCGGCTTAGAGATGAACTAACGAATTCGCTTCATATAGACCCACTAAATACGCTATTTGAATTTCATAATTTTTGATTTGTGTTGATTATTTATCTATGACTGAGAAATGACTATTGCTGTTGTTTATTTTTAATGAATAAATCTATTCATATATATTTATAGTGTTTACTTTGATATTATTGGACTAATTAGAAAAAAAAATATAAATAGATTTTAATTATCATTTTATTA